GGGGGGGGGGGGGGGGGTAAATGGTCAAAAATAGCGTGACGTACTTTTTGGACGGCCCCAAACAATAATTAGCACATTTTTAAATTAAAAACAAATAATGTTTGACTTTTTGCGTGAAAATCGCTTGTTTTTGTGAAGTGGCTATTCAAGGGCACGTGGGCCCAGAGGCGTAGCGAGGTGGGGGCAGGGGGGACAGATGTCCCCGGGTGCAAGCTAGTTAGGGGCGGCAAAATGTGCTTTGATATTATTTATTGGTAAAAATAATGGGTTTGAGAGTTGAAAAAAAGAAAAGGGGGCGCTTTAAGATGGATCTTGTCCCCGGGCGCGAATCTTGTCCCCGGGCGTCAAACACCCTCGCTACGCCTCTGCGTGGGCCAAAGATAAAAAAGTCAAAAGATATTTGGAAAATCCGTCGAAGAAAATGGCTAGCACGCCGTTCGGGTGCACTTTACGACAAAAACTAAAAAGCCCTGCCTGACCTGATAACAGCACCCCCACCCTCCCCTCCCCCCCCCCTTTTCCATTATCAGAACCAAATAAATAGTTATAAACCGTCAAAAATGACTCTGTAAGATCAATCCTGTTTTCCTCAAGTGCCGTAACTTTGAGTGGTTCCGTCACATGGTCATTGCTGACAGCTTTATTCATAGATGAAGTGAGAGTGATTTTTTTTTAATGCTGACCTGTAGGCACCGCTCTCGATCAAGTGGTCAGTGGGTTCGATTTCATTTAGGGTCATCCTCAAAGATCGATAGCCTATATAAATAAAAGGGTAAAATGGGCTCGTAACTATGGTCGGCGCTACCCGCAGACCTCAGAGGTGCATAATACTGGCCTCTGAGGTGTGCAATACTCAACTCATAAGTGGTGTGAACTGTGCACATGTGAGGTCAGGAGGCATACTCCGCATTTCTTAACGTAGCATGAAAACTCTCTTCAAACCTTTCCTTTTGGATAGACACCTCATGGTGGAGTGCACACGTAGTATGAGAACTCTCTTCAAACTTTTCCTTTTGGATAGACACCTCATGGTGGAGTGCACACGTAGTATGAGAACTCTCTTCAAACCTTTCCTTTTGGATAGACACCTCATGGTGGAGTGCACACGTAGTATGACAACTCTCTTCAAACCTTTCCTTTTGGAAAGACACCTCATGGTGGAGTGCACACGTAGTATGAGAACTCTCTTCAAACCTTTCCTTTTGGAAAGAGACCTCATGGTGGAGTGCACACGTAGTATGAGAGCTATTTTCAAAACTTTCCTTTTGGAAAGACACCTCATGGTGGAGTGCACACGTAGTATGAGAGCTATTTTCAAAACTTTCCTTTTGGAAAGACACCTCATGGTGGAGTGCACACGTAGTATGAGAGCTATTTTCAAAACTTTCCTTTTGGATAGACACCTCATGGTGGAGTGCACACTTAGTATGACAACAAGAGTGGTTCAAACCCGGAAACACTTTCTTTTCATGACTCAAAAAAACAAAACGAAAGTTGAGTGCATTCGTTTCAAAGAAGTTCACTGCTGTAATCATTTCACTGCGTAAATATTTACAATTCATCTGGCATGGTTTTCAGTTTTCACCATTAATGCTCGGCGATGAGTAGTGCAGTGTATACCAATAATGTTTGGGGATTTTCGCTTAACTAAAGTTTGAAAACCAGAACGGCATTCATCAAGCATGGAGCGCCACCAGAAGACACGCCAATGACATATTTTCATTTGATACCATGTGCCCCAAAGAACCTGTCCACTTAATCAAATATTTATTTTGAATTTGCTCTGGTGCTGAGAGTTTCGCAAAACAAAAAAAAATTGTTATATACATACATGGGCGCCCGCAGAAAACTTTCTAGGGGGGGGGGGGCAAAAAAAAACGAATAAATTTACAGGGGGGAAGGCAAAAAAGCTCTGGTGCTGAGAGTTTCGCAAAACAAAAAAAAATTGTTATATACATACATGGGCGCCCGCAGAAAACTTTCTAGGGGGGGGGGCAAAAAAAATCGATTAACTTTCCAGGGGGGAAGGCAAAAAATTTTTAGTTATGTTTTAATATAGCTTTAATTTACTGTAGCGTATTTGTATGGTGAACGAACGGACAGGACATCAGCTTAGTTACTTTCTCTTTATTTTCTCTTTACTTAAATATTTTTATTTTTTATTTTTGTCTAAAATTGTTTTATCCAATCAATCCAGGGGGTTGGGGGGGGGGCAAGTGCCCACCCTTGTCCCTACCTGTGGGCGCCCATGTATACAAATCGTATGTAGACGCAAAATTGGGCTAATTTGGCGACAGCCATCGTTTCATCAGGCTGAATTACAAAGAACCTGAAAATCGAATTCTGAATCTTCGAGACCAACTGCGGCGTTATGTCATCAAACATCTACACTATTCGCCTCCTAAAAGTATAGTTTGAGAGGGAAACATACTTTAGCGTCTCAAGCTCAGAACCCCCCAAGCACATTCGATATATCTGTGCAGCAAGGCAATATCAACTGTTCTCCGATGCTGTTGGGGTTCTTGGCGGTAATTGTTTTCCTATAAAAGAAAAAAAACGCGCAGGAGGACTTTGGGCAAGCCGTAGTGTTCAGCGCAAACATTCACGCGTCATAGAGCCTTGGTTTGTGCAATTGTCCAACATGGCGTTTAAAGAAGTCGGCATCTTGGTTTATTCAGCAAGGATGCTTCGTGTCCAAGAGTCTCTTGAACTTGTTGGGCTTTAGAGAAGTGGATGCCAACACAAAAGAAAGTTTGGTTCCTCTTTTCCATTAAACCGTATTACAGCGAAACCAAAGTTCACATAATGAAACATCGTGTCTCATTAACATTTTTTTTGAGAGGCATTTCATATAACAATCTTTTTTTAAAAAAACGACTACGTGTTGAAGTTTTAAACATAAATTGGAAATTAATATTAGAAATTAGAAGTTATAACAGTTGAAAACTAGTTAAATTAGACATTAAAAATTAAAATAATAGAACATCCAAACAGTGCCGTCTTAAGGCATGGGCCCAGGGCCCCGCGCTTGTAGGGGGCTCTACATTTCTAGGAGACTCACTCTCTTAGAAGCATCATGCTTTACATATTTTTAATGAATATTGAACGATTTTGACAAATTAATTGGATTTAAAATTCCCATTTTTAAGCCACGCAACATATCAGCGCATTCCAAAATTAATAGAGTATAATTTAAATGCAAATCAAAGTTGGACAATTTTAAAACTTTTAAGTGGAATGACTGTCGTCAACAAGTTTTACTTTTCCCAGATATGAAAAATAATGAATCGAAAAAAAAAAGTAACGTAACAATAAGCTTCGCAATCCAAAAAATGGGACAAAAACGTTTTAATTGGTTTTCACTTATATGCATAAAAAGTGACATCCGTTGCCATTAAACCAATGCAAAAAAATTACGCAAACGTTTGTGTTGATTTTTATTAATTTATTCCATCTATTTGTCAATAATGATAATTTATCATCAATGTGATTATTTATAGTTTATTTCTGATGTTTTAAAACTGTTTTTTTGATTTTGAATGATTTTGTTTTTTGTATCAATAAATTGAATTCATCGAAGTTTGATTTCATTGAATGTTTATTTTTATTTGACATTGTTATTCCTCCTGGCGAGTTGGTGGGGAGCAGGAAC